ATGATGGTGGGTATGGTGGTGGTGGCTGTGATGGTGATGATGATGGTGGTGGTGGTGGTTATGATGCCTACCCCCACCGACCACGATACCCCTACCGCCACCTCCGCTACAACTTCCTCCTCCTCCCCCTCCTCCTCCTCCGGCGCCTCCGCCTCCTCCGCCACAGTTCCCATTCGAGCCGCCCCCACCGCCCCGGCCATGCGTAGACACCGCCGCCGGGGAATCGACCGAGTCCAGTAATTGCTCGCTATGCGATTGATGATCGCCTATGTCCCCTATACCTTCCATTTACGCACATCTAGTTCGGTAGTGGGCGCACTGCCACTCGCTCCTTCGCTGTCGTACGCCGCCGACCACGACACACCGTATCGTAACACCACACAGAGCGCGCGCGTTTATAAGTTTTTCTTTTTTTTTTCTTCTTCTCGCGAGGAGCACTCGATACTCTCTGTTCTCTTCTTCGTTTACGTCGAGTTTAATCGTCGATAATCGTCGTTTCCAAAGAGTTGCTACGGTTCTCGATTGATCACTGATCTTAGGTGATCTCTCAGATCACTGATTACCGCACGATCCCGAAGCGACGACGTATACGATCATCTCGGCAACTACCTCGCGAATAGAGCGCGTAAGCGGACGACGATGACGACGATGACGACGACGACGACGACGACGACGACGAGGAGGACGCTGATGCTGAGGCTCCACCGTCACGCCGGATCGGCATAGAGAGCACCCGGTGGTAGCGCAACGACCACCGTGCGCCCATGACACCGCGCGAGTGCGGAGCGAGTGAGAGCGCACGCTCTCTGCGCTCGCGCGCCCGAGTGCGAGCGCACCCAGCACCGGCTCTTCCCGATGGAAGAGAGAGACGAGGAAAGAACGAGAGTGAGAGTGAGAGTGAGAAAAAAAAGAGAAAGAGAGAGAGAGAGTGAGAAAGAGAGCCACCAGGCGGACCCAGAATATACAGAGGACGAAGTGGCGTGAAGGGGGTTTCGATTTCACCGCGCTCAGTCCCGCACCACCGCCGTTGCCGCCACGGTTACGTTACGTTCCGTTCTCTATCGGGGACTTGTTCCGCTCCGCCCCCTTCCCCTAACGGTCCCTACCCCGGGTGTTCCGAGTCACACTATACCGGCACCGCTGCCACCTGGTCGGTCCGCTCTACTACCCTGTTACACTACTACTACGATCACTAATATATCACTACCGCCGTTCCGCTCGCGCGCTTCTTCGTGTCGCGTGCCACGAGTTCCTCTCCTGGTCCAGGTGCGACAGTCCGCGTCTCTGTCCTCCTCTTTCTCCTCCTCCTCCTCCTTCCCCCCCTGTCCCCGCCACGTGTCAGTTCGTTCGTTCGTTCACGGAGGGGAGTCGTTCGCTCACACACCGCACCACCACTGTCACTATCACTACACCAGCACACCGTTCAACGGAACCGTTACCGTTGTACCTGCGCGCTGGTCCCGTTCGCGCCTTTTCTCCCCACGGAGAATGGAGGATTCACGTCCACGTGAAAGCGAAACCCCGGTACCAGAAGAATCTCGCTGTTTTATTTCACGCGGACGATTCGCGGACGACTAGATATACGAGAGTTTCTAGAGACAGTTGCCCGGAAGACGACTGTCGATCTTCGCGATTGTCTTTTCGCGATTGCCCCTTTCGTGCTCGACGAGGCTGCAAGGGTGCGACGATAACTTCGTACGTACAGAGCGTTAAGTGACAGAAGCGACCCCTTACCGGTCACACTCG